TGCTTGGAAGGGAGCTGTCGGGAGGAGCTCCAGACCTGCAGCCAACTTGGGGTGAATGAAAAATAAACTTTCCTGGGTTAAACCAATGGGAGTTTGGGATTATTAATCCCTGCAGCAGAGCCTAGTCTGTTCGTTAACACATTAACAATATAATCTTACATTAGCCATGTTTTAAACTTTCCACAATTATCCAAAACATAATTTATAATCTTTGACGTTCATACAGATTTGAAAGCTCAATGTTTGTATGGGTAAAACATCTCATCAAAAATATTTGACAACTGTCAGCATGGAGCCTGCTTGGGATTCTCCCTCCCTCTCACTCTCTCCGTCCCTCCCTGGTGCTCTGTCTCTCTCAAAATAAAAAAATAAACATTAAAAAAAATTGACAGCAAGGTAATTCTTAGTTTTTCTTGTTGGGTGAGAAGAGAGCCAAACAGAAAAATATGTCACCTGTGACTAATACAGAACAGGGTCAAATTTAATCTCATTCAGGATCTGGATTAAATCTGAATAATTAGATAACCAAAAAAATTTTTTTGGTTTAGTTTATAAGGTTGTTATTTTGCTATGTTTATCAGCATAGACTAAGCCATTTTGGAAGATAACACAAAAGTTCTTTCAGGCCTAAGTGATATATTTTTCTTTTAATTTCCTTGAACATTTTCCTTAAATTTCCTTAAAGATTTGGGGTTGTGTGTGAATTTTAATTTGTTTCCACAAAATTGAGACTCAAAAGTTAGGTCATTTGCTCTAAACCATACAACAAATTAATGGAGAGGGCAGTACCCAAATCCCAACTTTCATTGTTTCCACGATGTCTGTGCTTCCTAGAAAAGTCATGGGGTGGTAAGTAGGAGAAGAAAAGTTAAGGTTAGCCTTCCATTTCCAGGAACGATGAGTTAAGTAATTTAAACAAATCCTCCCATTGAGGACAACCAAAATGCTGAGCAAAATATAAAATCCCCTTTCTAGAAATAGCAAACAAACAGTGAGGAGTTACCAGGCCAAGTTCCTAGAGAAGATGAAAATCTATAAAGACGAACATGGTACTGGTGCCATTTTATCCTGAGGACATGGTTTTCCACAGCAGGTGATTGAGAGGTTTTTTTCTTTTAAGTTTATTTATTTTATTTTGAGAGAGAGAGAGAGAGAGAGAGAGAACATGTGCATGCTCAAGGGAAAGGGAGAGAGAGAATCCCAAACACAGAGCCTGACGTGGGGCTCCATCTCACAGATTGTGAGATCGTGACCTGATCTGAGATGCTTAACCAACTGAGCCACCCAGGCGCCCCGATTGAGAGGTATAACAGTGCCTTTAGGGCTAGGGAGACAAAAGTTGGAGGCTAGGGCCCAGCATGGGTAAGTGCCCTGCACCCTGAGTTGAGACTGACACACACTAGAAATGAGAGTGAATTGGAAGTCAACCAGTCCTATATACTGCGGGCTGTCTTTGAGTCATCTGGGTGGCCTGGAAAATCTCAAGCTTAAAATTGGATTGGGGTAATATTGGAATGTTGGTGCCTTCAAGTGCCTGGCAGAAGCAATGAAAATTCTCTTTGGAGAAAGAGGACATCATAGTAGGCCTCAAGTTATTTTGACAAATAAAATCATCAGGATATAGGAAAAAATAACCATGTATACAAGATGATAAAACACTATGGACAAGAAAAATAAAATATACCAGACTGCAGAAATAGACCCTCAGGGATTCCAATATAGACTGTAAAGCAGTTATGCTTATAAAGTTCAAATAGAAAATGACATAGATTTGACAAAGAACCAAGTAGAAATGCAAATCGTCAAAAAATAGAGTACCCTGAATTAAATCAGTGGATGATTTATGAACACATCAGACACACTAAAGGAAGAATTCTGGCAAAGATCCGATGAAACCATTCAGAATAAAGCGCAAAGAGAAAAAAAAAAGAATGGAAGAGAAAGGAGGATAGAATGAAAATGTCTAACCCATTCGGTGGGAGCCTTAAAAGAAGAAGTAAAAGAGAATGGGGCAGAAGCAACATTTAATGAGAAAATAGCTGGAATTTTTTCAGCCATAGACATTAAGCCACAGAAGCTCAATAAATTGCAAGGAACATAGCAGAAAGCAGGCCACCGCAGACACATCATAAAGAAGCAAAGAATACCAAAGGCAATGAGAAACTATTAAGAGCAGCCAGAGGGAAAAGGACAGTTTACCTTCAAAGAAAAAATGGTTAGGCTGACTGCTGAATTCTCAGCAGTGGTTATGGAAGCCAAAGGATAGGGGAATGATATCTTTAATGTGCTGCAGGAAACAGCTACCAACCTAGTATTACACACTGGGTGAAAACATCCCTAAAACACCGTGTGCAAATAGCCCCGACTCAGTAATTAAATCTTTTCCCGGCTGGTACCTGCCGCAGACACACGTTGGTATGTAGTTGTTCTTTTTCTCACTCTCCTCTGCAACCTACAAACTGTGTGCTCATTGTTAGTAACTCTGCAAGGAGCCAGGGTAGAGGTGAGCATAGGGCTGGTGGGAGGGCAAGAGGAGGAGTAACAAAGTTAACTTTGTCGACCGTTTTGTGAGATGGCTTCACAGACTGGAGAGCTAGTAAATGTTGGAGGCTGGCTTGCTCTTGGGCAATTTCCAGAATTCTTCATGAATACCCGTTGGGTGGTCCATATTTTTCTTACTGATTTGTAAGAATTCTTCATGCATTTTAGATGCAAGTCTTATTTATTTACTTATTGTCTCTTTTCAATAATAGATGGTAGCGATATGATTTCCCATTCTGTGGCTTTCTTTTCCACTCTCTTAATGGTGTCTTTTGATAAATGGAAGTCATTAATTTATCACTCTTTTCCTTATGGTTAGTATTTTTTTTCATTTTTGAGAAGAAGTTCCCCTGGGTCATTTTTAATAACACATGCCAAGCCTTTTTCCTCAGTCATTTAAAATCTAAATTTAACCGTGTGATATTGAACAGGACTTGGTAGTCTAATTAACAGCCTTTTTCTATCTCTTCCCTGCGTACAAACTAGAATAGATGGAGGAAGGGATTAGGGGAAATGTATACTCTGAAAACGTAGGATATTTGGACAAAGGCACCCGATATTTGACTCACTGAATCAGAGTTCTTGGACTAGAGCTTGGATGTGTGTAATTTTTTTTTTTTTTTTGAGAGAGAGAGCGTGTGAGCAAGTGGGGAAGAGGCAGAGAGAGGGGGAGAGAGAGAACCCCAAGCAGGCCCTGTGCTGTCAGTGTGGAGCCCATCTCAGGGCTGGATCCCATGAACCATGATATCATGACCTGAGCTGAAATCGAGGGTCAGACACTTAAAGGACTGAGCCACCCAGGCACCCTGGACGTGTGTAATTTTTAAAATTCCCCCCGATAATTCAGCTATATCTTGATGAGGACTACAAAGGAGGAAAAAAAAAAAAAAACCCTTAAGTGTCTGGAAAGTCGTGGAAGGAAGGAGAGAATTTCAAGCAGTGCTTGGGAAACAGTCTCAGATGTAGCAGATAATCCAGACGGCATAAAGATTAAGAAGAGGACAGACTTCTAGCTCTAAGATGAGTAAGTTCTGGAGATCTTCAGATAGCATGGTGACCATAATGAACAGTACTTCACTGCATACTTGCAAGTGAAGAGAGTAAGTCTTAAATGTTCTCACCACACATGCAAAAAGGTAATTATGTGAGGGGCTAGAGGTTTTAAGTAACCTTATTGTGGTAATCATTTGCATTATTTACATGTGTCAAATCATCACATTGTACCTTAAACTTATATATGTTATATGGCAATAAATCTCACTAAAGCTGGGGAAAAAATCACGCAAGGCACATGTGGAAACTAGGAAAGATATGGGCAACAAGAACGCCGATGACAGCAAGCAACCCTCTAATAGTGGAGGCACATGTATGAGAATGAGAATTCTCAAAACATACGTTGATTCCTGGTAGCATTTGCAGAAATGAATTATCTGGTTTTTTAGTAAAAGGCAAGAGATTTATGCGATCTGAAGAGAAACCAGAGCATTGGTTTTTTAAAGATTAAGAAAAATGTCGGATTTTGCTTGGATCTTCCGTCATTAGTAAAAGAACGCTTTTGGTACAGAGGTGGGGTATAGACTATGGGTTACAGGGTGAAGGGGTAGCCAGTCAGAAGGTAAAAACCTGGGTATCAGGTATTTACAGAGAAGGAAAGTAATACAGTTTTGCAGAGTCAAACAAAAAAGACGTATTTCAGTTTTAAGATTTGAAATCCTTGAATCTCAGAGTTGAGAAGAACCTCAAATACCACTTTGAATAATTCCATCTGACACTTAAATTTCCTTTACAAAGTCCTGTCATTCTGTTTATACTTCAACTCCTCTGTGGGTAAGGTCTGCCATCTGCCACCACCCTCATGAGCGGCCTGTTGTGTCTCTGCATGGCTTTGAGTGAAGGCTTTTCCTTATCATGGGCTCAGAACTGCTCTCCTCAGATAGTACTGGTTGCCATATTTGAAACAGGAGGACAGGTGTCAGCTGTGAGGGAATGTCATCTTACCAATACATTCTGATACATTTATTGAATGGCTTTCCAAAGGAACTGGTAAAAGAAAATAAGTCTGGCTTGAATCAGTTTGTGGGGAGATCAAATGTAAACAAATTTGACCAGATCAAATAGGAGCAAATAGGACAGTTTAAGAAATAGTGGTTCTGCAAGAATGACTGTTTGAAAGTCAGTCCTTTGTTTCAGGCTCTGTCAGGCAAATACATAACCTCCAAATTTAGCCGTGTGGTGTTCAGTATGGCAACCGCACGTCAGAAATTTGAAAGGATCTGTATCATTTACAAGTGACTTTGGCTGAAAGAAACAGAATATCCAGCTAAAAGTGCTCAAACCACATGACCCATAATGTGCCACTTAACAAAACGTGTGGAAGCAGGTGATGACTGGGCTGTTCAGCAGCTGGCCGTCTGGGCACAAGTTGGCTGTGCTGCTGGCCTTCCCCTTCTGACCAGCAGATGGCAGAGCTGCTCTAAACACTACATCCCCAGCTTGCAGAGTCCCGAGCAGATAGGGAGGAGACCAGAGCAAAAGGGCTTTCTCTTTCTCTTCTAAGTCCCCTTGAGCGGGAAGAAACATTGAGGCTCCCAGCAGACGTCTTGGGCCAGAATTTGACCAAATACCCATGACTGGACTGACAAAAGGGAAATGAGAGTGGCATGATTTACTTACTCCTTGAAGCTGGGCACATCACTGCCCCATCGAAATAGGGCTTTTATTTTACTTGTACTTTTCTTTTCTTTTTTTTTTTAAGTCAAAAAGAAGTGAGGAATAGCTGTTGGGTAGGCTACCCATCGCCCCTGCCAGAGGAGCTCAGGAGAAATTATACACGCTAAATCCACCGGGCCCAGTGCCAAGGGCAGGACAATGCCTCTACAGAAACTAGTAAAATGTTTTTCTTCCTCTGATAATTATTAATCCTCGGCAGTGACTTAGAAAAATTCTTGGGCTAAATTTCTTGCTATTAAATGCACGATGGGTATAGAAACTGACTGTAAAACTGTTTTTAAAAGTCACTGTGCTTCTAACCCAAACTTCTTACTCTAATGCTTATCTTACCACGACATGAGTGGTTACGAATCACCTCCAATTTACATATTACAGAGGAGCCTTACATGGTAAAGAATAAATCATTTTCAAATTAGACATTCCATCTAGAACTGACAGCAGCTGATTCCCAGCACTGTCTTTTATTTCTGACATGCTTTTAGATGAGAGTAATCTTATATTTGCAGTAATTCTCAGGATAAAATTTTCTTCTCAAAGCTTCTTCTACGAAGTGGTCTTTTATTGTTGTTGTTTTTGTTTTTTTAGTTTTGAGGAATAAAGCAATTCTTCTCTCTCTTTTGAAATTGCATATCAAGTCCAGAAACATTGACTCTTTAATTTAAAAGATTAATGTCAAATGATGGATGTAAACATGTATTTTCCATCCTGTTTCTTTGCGAGTGCCTTTCTCGTTCTTGGTAGATCCTCATTCCTATTGGATTTCCATCGCACGCTAATTATCTCCGGCTACAGCTGCTTACTGACAGCTGTTCCCTTCACTGCCCACCATGCAGCCACCCTTCTGCGGGCGACCCATACTGTAGTTCCCATCTGTGGACACCCCTGCCTCCCCCGTGTGGTTGCTTCCGCTGGGGCTTTCACCCTGCCTCAGACGCAGAGCTTGCGGCCTAAATCATTCCAAATGTTGCATTCCCCTGGCCTGACTGACTGATTAACAGAAGCCTCATTTAGCACCAGTGAGAAGTAATTCTTTTGCTAGGACTTCTGGGAGAGATTCTTTCTCTGTCCTGTCAGTTTTTTACCTTTCAAGGAAGCCCCAGAGTTGCTGTAAACTATCTTGATATCTTGAGTGGGAACTCGTCTCAGAATGGAGCTGAGAGGGGTGCCTGGGTGGCTTAGTTGGTTAAGCGTCCAACTTCAGCTCAGGTCATGATCTCACGGTCCGTGGGTTCAAGCCCCGTGTCGGGCTCTGTGCTGACAGTTCAGGGCCTGGAGCCTGCTTTGGAGTCTGTGTCTCCCTCTCTCTGCCCCTCCCCTGCTCATGCTCTGTCTCTTTCCCTCTCTCTCTCAAAAATAAACACTAAAAAAAAAAAAAAAAAAAAGAAGAAGAATGGAGCTGAGAGAGAGAGAGAAACAGACAGACAGACAGAAAGGCTCCCTGGTGATACATTTCAGCCTTCAAACCAACACAGCAGCATAGCAGCAAGGCCTATTCCTGGACTGTTCAGTTACATAATCTAGTAAGTTCCTATTTCATTTAAGCCAGTGTTTGGATCCGATTTTTCTCTCCCTCGCTACCAAAAGAGTTCTAACTTATACATAGGTTCAGAATCTCTCACGACCAAGGAATATTCTCAGATACTGAATATGTCATAAAAATTAATATGAAAAATACTTAAAAGGGAGTAAGTGTACCTATAACTTACGTCCAGTATCTTTGCTGTCTTTAAATAGTAATGTCCACCTGTGATGTAATGCAATATAGAAAAGAGTTTAAACAGGTATTCCTGATATTATATGACTTAATGAACGAACTCTAGTCGTTATTATGGTAACGTGCCCTGGGGGCAGTTTCCTCAAGTCTGAGCATGTACTTTTGTTTCCTTTTCGAATCTAAATTATTTCTCATTATCATGGAATAAAATAATCTTGAAGATATTTAGCAATATTGATAAATCATTGGCACACATAAGCCTATAATTATAAAAGTGGTGGTCTCATGCTGTGATGCTTGAATTTCTCTGGCTATTTCTTTTACTCAAACAGTGCTGTTCTGCGAAACAGACACAACAGGCTGGTTAGCATGACCACGTGACATGACCACAGTCTCTTGGCTGAGAGACATTTGTGCCTGGAGTTGGACATCACTGTGAAGACACTGTTCACTTCAGGAAAACTTCGTCCTTCAGTCAATACTTCTAGCCTTCCCCGCGGTGACCTTTGCGCTCTCCACCCCAGGTGTCCACATCCTTGTCAAAGGGTGAGAGACCTTCTGTAATTGGCGAGATGATTCCAAGACAAGGGGCCAGCCAGGTTGTCTACCTGGAGCGTTCCCTAGAAACAGAGCCAGTTCCTTTCCCTGTAGGAACAAAACAGATAGTAAGGCAGATTCTGTTTTTTGTTTTTTGTTTTCACGGTGATAAAGGACACATTGATTGTGCTAAAAGAAGTTATTTTCCTAGGGAGCCCTTCTGCCATACATCCTACAGCTATATTGGCTAATACTACACCAGGAAAACCTAGAGTTTATGTTAATAGGTAATTATTTCACATGGCTCAAAATTCTGAGATACAAATATTTGTGAACACTTTCTTTCCCACTCCCGTTTCCCTGAGGCCCCCGTTTTCCTCCCCAGAGACAATCCATTTTCTGTTTCTGCCATGTCTTTTCAGGGCGATGTTCTGCACATTTAAGCAAATGCATGTAAATATTATCTTTTCCCTTTCACCTCAACAATGGTATATTTCCTACTCTGCAAAGATATAGATTTCTTTTTTCACCTAAGCTATCCTGGATCCACTTCCATTTTGGTACACAAGGAGCTTCCTCATTCTTTCTCATAGCCTCTGAGTATTCCATAATTTCATAATACCATGGTTTTACCAGTGTCCTATTGGTAACATTTACATTTCTCCCCCACCCCCCAATCTTTGGCTCTCACAGACAGTGCTACAGTGAAAAACCTTGAACATACATCAGTCTGCATGTGAATGAGTGTATCTTTGAAACAAATTTCTAGAAGTGAGGTGTTTTTTTTTGGTTAAGGGCAAGCATGTTTGTATTTTTTCTCATTTTTAGAGGTTTGACCTGAAAAAGTAATACATACACATGGTAAACAAACAAAACCAAACCAAGCAGTATGAGAATATATATAGTGAAAGATGAGTCCCCCCACCTCCTTTGGCCTCTATTCCCTTTTCCATAGGTAGCCATTGTTGTGTGCACACTTCTAGAGAGTATAGGCATATGCAAACATGTATATGTGAATCAGCATTTGTCGTTTGTCTTTGCTTGAAACAAATATATGAGGAACACACACCATTTTGCACCTTGCTTTTTTCACTTAATATATTTTAGAATTCATTGTGGGTACAGATCAGTCTCATTTTTAAGGCAATACAAGATTTCCTGTGAGAAGACTGACATTAACTTTTTTCATTAAAAAAAGTTAAGGTATAATTTATATACAGCAAATTTTACCCTTTTAAGTACATAGTTCTGCAAGTTTTGACTAATACATACCATCCTTTGTAATTTAGATAGATATTGCCATATAGCCCTCCTGAGAAAGTTGGGTAAGTATGCGTACCTGCCCTTCCACGAACTTCCACAACCGAGAGGTGTCATCGGACTTTTTGATCTTTACCAGTCTGTAGGGGAAAATGGTATGGCATTATCATTTAAAATTTTATTTCCCTTATTACGACGAAGCAAAGCATCTTTTCTTTTTTAATTTTATTTACTTTTTTAAAAGATTTTATTTTTTTTAAGTAATCTCTACACCCAGTATAGGGCTCGAACTCACAACCCCAAGATCAAGAATTGCATGCACCACTGACCAAGCCAGCCAGGCACCCCTATTTTTATTTTTTTAAAGTAAACTCTACACCCAACGTGGGGCTCGAACTTATGACCCTGAGATCAAGAGTTGCATGCTCTCCCAACTGAGCCAGCCAGGCACCCCAGCATCTTTCCATTTGTATAAGATTTATTTAGATGTCTTTTCTTGGGAACTGTCCGTACTTTATTTTTTTGTCCCCTTTTTCTCTTGTGGGTTGGTCGTCTTCTTCATATCAAGTAGGGAATCCTGACATATTAGGACATTGTCTGGTATATAAATTGCAAAAATTGGGGAAACTTGATGTTCGTAGAAACATTAAGTAAGGACTACATTCCCTATACAGCAAATACTTAAATCTTTTTCAATCATTGGGAGGATATTGCATGTACAGAGTTCCACTTCAGGAGAACTAAACTTCCAAAATGACATTTGGCTCAGAAGATTGTCATGTTTTGTAAAAGTATCAGATGTCTGTTATTCTGAAACAAAATAAAATTGCACATATGTGTGCAATTGACTATACAGTCTTTGAGTAAACTACCAGGATTAAAAGAGTGTTTTATCATATATCATATAGCTGACCTGGGTCTCTCTGATTAATACATGTGAATATCCACCAGTTCATTTCAGGCACATGCAAAGATGAGAAGTCTCTTCTGGATGCCTCTTGCCATAGCTCTCCAAGGTGATTACATCATACTGAAATGAAAAATAATTCACAGTTTCGGGTATCTATCTCCAAACTGCATACCTGCTGTTTGACACAGATATCTATGTCTTAGGATGCAATGGAGAGGAGTTGAGACACAAGAAAATGAAAAACTGTCTTGTTTTGACATGACTTGGAGAAATAAAATTTGTTATCTGGCCCCCAATCCAGGAGAAAGCTTGTGAACTAC